TGCTTGCAAGCTGCGATGTTTATCACTGCTGAATTATTGTTATTCCTTATTCGGTTTACTTTATGTAAAACAGCAAAGCGGGGTTTTCTGTCGACTTCATTTTTGTAGGCATCAAGTCGTCGACTTAAATACACGCCCTCTCGTTTTTGAAATTTAGAGAATTTCGTCTTTAGTTAGTACTTAGGCCAAGGGTTCGTTCGCTTTGCTATCTTGATTTAATGAAATAATTTTGTTGCACCTCGAACAGGCCTTGTTTAGCCCAGTTCGGAGATGCCTTATTGCATCTGATGTATTACAGGCGCTGCAGTTCCATGGAACGCTGATACGCTGAGATTGTTCCCCTGAGTACTAAAAGCAAGGGGGGGGCGGTAGTGAGTTTTCGCCATATAAATCCGGCATGAATATTTGAAATGTATTATTTACCCGCTGAATTGGAAATCTTCTCTTCGTCAGGACATCGGGGTTCTATTTTGTCTTCTTTTGTTCGCAAATCTTGTTTTCCCTACAGTTTGTCTTGGTAATGAATCATACGCAAAATTGAACATGTGTAAAAGGCGAGTGTTAGATGAGACTGTAATTTAGTTCCATGCATTTGTTTCTCTTTCTGAGTTATGATTCAATACGGTTTGATCCCGTGCAGTTGTTTTCAGTGACAGAGTATCGAACCAACTTTCGAGAGTGTCGAAAGATCATTCCAGATCGAAGTATCGTTCCAGAGTATCGAACAACTTATGAACCATGCTTATGTTGATTATTAACACAGGTTGCATTATTATTCGGTGGATTGCGAAACGGGCTGAAACTGTTTCCTCGCTTCTAGATGAAACCAGAAGCATTATTACATCGGATTTGCTCGGTTCAATCGATATGTGGTAGTTACCTCAGAACATCACGATAAAGTTTTGTTTATATATTTGTTTAAGCATAGTGGCAAATTTATATTCCGCTTGAACGTGGCATTGTTCTTCCCAAACTCAAATATGCTGTCCTGCATCCAACGGCATGGAGCCGCGTTTTGTTTCAATGATTCCATGTAGAACCTAAGAACAACGAGGCGATGTGACTGCTCAGAGTAAATCAGGTATTATCGAACTCCGTCGTTGTCGCCCTTGTAAGGCAAAATGAGTGTTGTGGACTCTGTTAAAGTCCCTAAAGTTCAGCCCCAGTCAGACTACGCGGATTACATCGTACCAATGATGGATTGTAGATAAATTCAACGTGTCAGTGGCCAACGGTCTGTAAGCGCTTAATTCGAACACATTAGTTTAGATGGTTGGAGTGTGAGGCTAAAAGCAGATATGGAAACTGATGGCGATAACTCTGTGAGAGAGGAGCCTTGGCATTAGGCCTAGGGAATGGTGTTGCCTGTTAATTACGAAGAGGGATCAATCAGTTTCTACTGCCAACTGTATTCTTCTATTGATTCTGAGTAGTTGGTTATCCGTAGCAGAGATCTTGATCTTCTTCGTTTTACGTAGTTTACAACTCTTCGATCCAAAATGCGCATGACTCCTCCAAAATCAGGTTTCGTAGGGTACTACACCACCCTTTACTTGTATTTACCTGAGGGCGCATCAACGCAGGCCACAGCTCCAGGCCCTTTGAGCACCTTCAGTGCTTGATGCATCTCGCATCATTGGTCTCCAAGAGCCACCTCTTGCCTATGGCGAGTTTCGATGTTTCAGGATCTCTCACTCCTCATATGCTACCTCCTGAATATCACTGTGTGTTCGCACACCGAACTACATTAAGCGTCACGTAACTCCTCTATGATTCCATGAGTCCGGGGCAAGGTTGTAATTTTAAATAGACCGAAACTCTTACATCAGGAAGGTCGGAATTCCTCACTACTTGAATTAGTTGCGAAAGTATTTATGCGGGTTCCTCAAATGTTTTCAGTTGTCTTTACAAATGCAGTAATTGTACGATTCTCCAACAGATCGTGACAGTGTTTTTTGTTAGAGATGCGGTCCTGCGTCCTATGCACTGAACGTGTCTAAATATCACGGAGCCGTGGCCTGCTTAAATGGCCCCCTAGACGTCTAGAAGCAGAGGGGTACAATCAGCTGCTGGTGTAAAGTGAGAAATAAATTTTTCTATCTGTACACTGGGCATTGGCCGTTTGAATCCGATATCATTATTATTTTTACTTAATACCATGCAAAATTCAAATGATCATGATCTGGAGGTAGAAATAGTTTGAATTGCTTTGTGAGCAGTGTCAATCAATCGATCAATCAGTGATGAACCATCTTTTGCAGACCACTAAGAAATGTAGCAATCATAGTTATGTGCAGCATGGTCACAATATGGAGGATTACTTTCAAATTTCTCTGTTGCTGTCTATAGATCGGTCTGCGCACTAACTCCCTATGCTCATGGGTATTGAAGTTTACCCGAATGAGTTCATTTTTTGATAATGGAGACTCAGCGGGTTAATGGTCTGCTTTGCACTGTAACGGTGTTGGGTCCAAACCCTGAAGGGTGGGCAAAAAATTCTCTTCCTAGCTGCCAGTTCCATTGAGCAAAAATCTTTCTCGGCTATGCCTGAAGGCGAACAGCCGAGAAATGTGCAGCAAGCAGCTCGTCGACCTGCGAACAGTAGGAGCAGGAGTATGCTCTGATGTGATCATGAAGGAGTGTGCAAAGCCTTCGGTCTTCCTCTCCGATGCGCGAGTCTTACCGACGGACAGTGTGCTTTGATTTACATGGTAACTGAGAGACACTGAGAGAATCAGCACAAGAGATGAATGACGAATATGTTTCAAGGATAAACAGCGTGAACCAAGCTCCTTCGAAACGTTCAAAGGAAATAAAATAAATGTTCAGTAAAGCAGGCATCGTTTTGAAATATCTTAATGTAGAAAAAGTCTTCTACTTTCGCTAGAGACCATGGGATGCTTTGTTAAATGTCTTTGTCATGCTTATGTGTGATGGAATCGTCACTGTCCCAACTGATATGCTGCTGTTTGTATGCGAATGGTTCGCATGATACTGGTCTTTAAGAAATGCCTAAATAAAACATCATGTTTTCTCTCCACAATTTTGACGGTTGAGTAACCTCAGACTAGTTCCTCTGCTTATGATATTCAAGAACAATGATCAAAAATGACTCTATAGAGGAGTTCTAAGTTTTTATTCCGGTGTTTGTTTAACCATCTCTAGACAAAACGCAAAAAATCGATTGAAATAGAGTAATTAATTTTTCTTTTTTTTCTGACGCTCGTAAATAAATAACCTGGCTTGAATGCACTTGTCCTCCAACGTTGGACAAATAGCAGTTTTTAGCCGTAAGCCAGCTTTTCTTCGAACTGCCTTAATGCACACATGTTCGTCAACGGTTTCTTTGGCTTGTGAGCGAAGCTAGTGAATTTTTGCCTCATAAACCATAGGGCAAAGTGACAGTACAACGGAGAAAAGAGGGTTTGTCATTAAATTACCTCTTCTTTTGCCATCCACATTACTTATTCTTCGGTTTCTGGCCATTCACAGAAAAGAAGCATTCTTGAAGCCACTCTTCCGCCAACATATCAGAAATGACAAATTCACTGAAGTTTTCAGTAAAAAATTTCCTCTCGTCGCAACTATTGTTTTGTCTTGGAGTTCGTGTGGCAGTAAAAATCGTCAGCTTCGATTATGACCACCGGAACTGTTGGCGAGGACGTGTTTTCGCGTAAAAACTGGCCTTTGGCCAAAACGTCGGCACAGTGGTTGGCCGGTCTGTCATGAGAAATGTATAAGTGCAGTGTATAGATTGACGTTGCTGCCGGGATGCGCCAAAACTCAGCCACTTTCGCGATGTGCAGAAACCTGATTGAGTGGTTGGTTCGTTCGGCGGTGTATGTCGACACTTGATGATCGCGTGTCTGTGCTGCGTACGACGAACGACCTGTTCGTCTTATTACTTCTCCTCCATTTGACTGCAGCCG